CTCTCAAGGCAGCATCCTGTCCTGGATGGGCGGGGCTAAAGACGAGCCAGGGAGCGGAGGAAGAGGGCTAAGAAGGCCCATCTGCTGGTCCCAGGCACACAAACATAAATGTTCAGCACTGTGCTAAAAATACCCAAAGATCGCCGTGGCGACGGAGGTGACTTTTCATTGGGCATTGAGGAGAACCACTCAGTTCTGACACAGATTCAGGCCGTGACAGACGAAGGCTTCTTTACAACTTCCTCTTCCTTCTCCTGAAACAGGCCTGGCACCTGTGGGTGAAGGTGTCGTTACACCATCGCTCCGCAGCAGGTCAGGCAGGTATTATGTGGGTAGCGCACGGATACCTGTGTGTCTGACCGTGTGTGTGTGCAGACACACGCCGGTGCGTATTAAAGGTGACAGCGGTAACAGCCGGCAGAAGAAAGCAGGACATAGCAAATTAGATTTTCTCTTATCTCCATCTCTAGCTTTCTTCTGTCATTCCCCTCCTGCGTTTTCCCCGGAGACGTTGTGAGTCTGTCGGGTTTTGTGTATTTATGTGTGAAGCTGCTCCTGTGTGTGGCGTGTTGCTGCGGGGATTGTGACGGGGCCATATTTCCCTGGAGCCCGGGGCTCTGCAGGCTTTAGCTTCGCTCTCCATAAGCAGGTTAGGAAAAACAATGACAGGCCCTGGTATAGACTGGGTCGGCCCGGCTGTTCCCGCTGCTGTACACACTCCCTCTGCTGCACAAACAAAAAACACACTAGAAATGTAAATAAACCCAGCCGCCACATCCAGGTTTACTAGATTAACGGGGTTTAGGAAACATCAGAGAAGTAGAATCCACCCAAATGGAGCCGAATGTGACGGATTTTAGCTTGAAGAGCTGCGTAAAACATCTGAAGACATGCAAAGCAGAAAATATGTTTTATCAAAATGTAAGTTCTTGTTTAAAGGGTAAAAGAGTTTTAACGTTTAAGGGGATAGTGGGGAAGTCAGAAACTCTTCACACTGTTGTCTCACTAGTCTTAACCATATTTGGTCAACATTAAAATGTCTCCACGCGGCTGCATTCAGCATTCACCGGTCCTGAAGGATGTACTCTCTGTTTCTCTGAACTGAGGCTGTTTAATGACAAACACAAAAATCATAGAAGCGTTATCTGACGTTTGTTGACAAGAACCCTGCATGTTCCCTTGAAAACCTGGACTGGACCCTTCACTTTATTCAGGATTCACTTAAAAGATCAAACTTAATCTTGCTTTGTTTTATTTTCTCCTTCTGATGCTTTTATTTTGGTAACTACATGTGTTAAATGGCTTTTATTTTGAAAAATTTACAAATAAAAACATCAAGCTTTTGTGCCCTCCCTCTTTCTGTCACCCATCCATCAATTACTCTGCTGTAGAGCAGGAAACACACACACACACACACACACACACACACACACACACACACACACACACACACACACACACACACACACACACACACACACACACACACACACACACACACACAGAGAGATAAGCAGACCTCAGTGTCTGTGTTGTTTTAAAGATGGAGGACGAGTGATCCTTCCATCATCCCTCCACCTTACAGCTCATCCCTCCATCTCATCTTCCTCTCATCTGCTGCTCTCTCTTCTGAGTGATTCGCAGTCATCATCTTCTGCTGCTCTGAGCTTCTTCAGGGAGTTACTACCGCCTTCCGCCTCCGCCTCTCCACCCATCTACATCTGGACTTGGAGAACCTGACTCTCTCCCTCTGTCCGTGTTCACATTCCTCTCCTGGAATTCCTTATATTTGGATCCACTTTTAGAAGTCAGGCTAGAGGTAAAACCAGATATGGATGGTTTTCCTCTTGGATGGCGGACACATTCCGATCTTGTCTCCTCACTCCAGGATCAGATTAGGAAGAATGATCCTGACCTCTTCTGGCAGTGGGAGGAAGCGCTGAGAGCTGGATGCTGATGGGGAGGAGAGCTGGAGGATGAGCGAGAGATACAGAGAGATGGAGGGTTTCTCTCATAATGGGGTCAGTGGCCCCCAGTGAGCCCCCCTTCCCACCGTAGAGGCCTACACACACACACACACACACACACACACACACACACACTGTCCTGTTTGTTATTGGGCTGGGTTGGACTCTGGCTTCTCCTAAAGCCTGCATGTGGCTCTCCAGCGTCGGGCGTTAATACCCGCTCCTCTCCTCCGGACGGGCGCGCTCGGCCTCTAAAGCCTCGCGACAAACACAAACACCAAAGGGTTTTAACAAAACATGCGCAGCAAGATAAGCGCCGCAGAATGACAAATAAGTCTTTATCAACCCCAAACCACGTATAATCCTTCACATTTGTGTCCCCATCCGCCCATCCTCTCCTCTCCGCTCCCTTCATCCCCCCATCCGCTCCTCTGCTCCCTTCTCTCAGCCACTCTTCTCTATTTTGTCCTTTTTTTCTTGCCGTAGTGGGGCCTATCTGCGCGAGAGAGCGATTAATCTGAGAAAGCTGCTTTTAGTGATGGTGGGGGGAGGTGGGGGGTGGTGTTGATTGGGAAGATCTCGCTGGGAATTGTGTGTTTATGAGGAAGCAGGAATGATAGAGGAAGATTTCCGAGGGAGTTTGTGTTTTTGTGTGGCAGAAAGAAGGTAGGAACCGTTTCACAGGGAGAGAACGTGTCTGAGTGGGAATCTGTCCACACACTCCCACAGAAATCATTCCAGTCATCTCCCCATCCCACACACACACACACACACCTGCGTGTGCACACACACACACACACACACACACACACATGTACACACACACGCACATACACACACACGCACATACACACACACACACACAAACACACATGTACACACACACGCACAAACACACAAACACGCACACACACACGTATACACACACGCACACACACACACACACACACACACACACACACACACACACACACACCTATACACGGACACACACTCACAAACACACACACTCAAACACAAATACACACACACACGTACACACACGCACAAACACACACACAACCACACACACACACACAAACACAAACACAAATACACACACACACACGTACACACACACACACACATATACACACACACACGCACAAACACACACACAAACACAAACACAAATACACACACACACACGTACACACACGCACAAACACACACACAACCACACACACACACACACACAAACACAAATACACACACACACATGTACACACACACACACACACACATATACACACACATACACACACACACACACACGTACACACGCACACACACGCACAAACACACACACACAAACACAAATACACACACACACGCGTACACACACGCACAAACACACACACACACAAACACAAATATACACACACACATGTACACACACGCACAAATACATACACAAACACACACACACAAACACAAATACACACACGCACAAACACACACACACACACAGGTAGATGCACACACACACCCACACCCACACACACACACACAGGTAGACGCACACACACACACACAGACACACACAAACAAACACACACACACACACACACACACACACACACACACACAACTCCAGATTATCATAAGTTACGGTCTACCGCTGATACGGGAAAGCCACAGTGGACACGCTTATGGGATCGTGGCGGAAACGTGATTCGGAACGTTCCACGTCACCTTTCATCTGTTTCTGTTAAGGATGTGACCTCTTCTGCTTGTTGTTGTTGTTGTTGTTGTCCCAGAGTGTTTTACCTCTGAGTGAGCTCTGCCATGATTCATCATTTATTATGATGTCTTTATTGTCTCCAAGGCAACGAGATGCTTTAATCCCATTATCTAAAGGGTTCCACAATCTGCATGAACAGATTCCTGCAGGGAAAACACGATGCATGATGGGAAAAGAACTGCTCGTCGTGGTTGAAGGCAGCGTTTTAGGAGCAGAGCATTATGGACACAAAGTCTAATTCAATGAATTTTGACTTTTAATTTAAGAAAACGGGCAACAAAAATCGTCTTTAGATCCGAACCAAAGCAGGAAAGACCCCAAAGACTCTTGGGATGGAGGGATTAGGGAAGCAGCTCGTATAAAAGAAGCTGTTCTTGTGGATTGAGAAGAACTCCTTATTCCATCTTCTTTGTTCCAGGGAGCGATCCTGAACAGGTAAAGGTGACCAGTGGTATCGGATTTATTACCAAAAAGCATCAAAAAGAATTAACTAGACGTCTGTTGTCTCCATTTCTGTGGAAACTGGAGCTCCAACCAGCTTCTGTTGTTGTATTTTCATGCACATTGATTCTTTGCATGAATAAAACCTCCTTTCATGCTCAGCATCACCCGAGGAAACGCCTCTCCTGAGTTGGAGATGGCTTCTGTGATTTTGGACTCAGAGGTTCTCCATCTCTGTCCCGCCTGTTAGAAGGTCTGGCCTCTAGAGGGAGGATGTTCCTGCAGAACCGGACAAAATGTCTGGAACGATAATCTAATCACAAGACCGACCGTCTCTACAGAGACAGGAGAAGAGTTGTGGAACGTCTAGATGTTTAGGAGAAGCTGATCTGTCATGCAGAACCACAAGGTTCCTGCACACCTGAGTGAGAGGGGTTCCGAGTGGTTCGGTGGTCTTCCTGTCGGACGGGTTAAACGGGAGTCACGGATGCTCTAATCTGGTATTAAAATGAACAAAAGCAGTTTGTCTCCAGGACGACGTCTGAGGGTTCCAGAATGTAGTCGAGTCCCGTCCTCCTCTTCTTTTTATCTTCCTCCTCGTCTCTCGTCAGACTGAGTCTAAAGCAAAGATTGTGGCTTCTGCGGGAGGCGGTATAGTTTCTGTTCTGCTAGTGTGCGTGTGTGTGTGTGTGTGTGTGGGGGGGGGGGGGGGGGGGGGGGCAAGTGGAAAGCTCATGCAGCCCATTATTTCTCTCATCATGTGTTCTCACTTTCTCTGCCTCTCTCGCCCCCTCCCTCTCTCCCTGCAGAACCACACACTGAGTCAGCACGCGCAGTGAGACCGAGGCCCGGCAGGATCTCTCAGCTCAGCCGTGCCCCCGACCCGGCGCCAGCGGGGGACCCCCATCTCCACATCACAGCCAATCAAAGTGTCATTTGCTACTCACATGTAAAACTCTAACGATCGCGCCACTGGGCGCGGCTATTAGGAGCAGCGGGGGAAGGAATATTAATGGGATATGCTATTAAATAAAGAAAAGGAAAGTGGGTGAGGAAACTGTAAGAGCGGGATGAAGGGAATAGAAGGGTGAACAAAGGTATTGTACGTGCAGTATTTTTTATTGTCCCTGCCAAAACCCCCTCCTCCCCCGTCCCTCCCACCGTTCACCCCCACCTCATGCATTTATTATTTTTTTAATAGAAAAGAAAAAGCGAGAAAACAACGTTGTTTTGGGATTTCTTTCTTTTTTTATTATTTTTTGATAGATTGTAAGAAAAGCTTCACTTGTTTTCCTCTCAGTTGCCAAAATTCTCTTTTTAGTTCCACGTGTGCTTTTTGACTTTCCTTTCCTGTTTTTTTATTATTTCTTGCAGTAAGTAGGTACTTGTGCCGTGTTGTGATTGTTTGCCAGTCGTAATATTCCTAAATGCTCTCCCTCAAACGATCCTTTTTATGATTGGTATATATATTTTTTCCTTTTTGTAATTACTATGAAAAAAGACATCAAAACAAAATAAAGTGCAGAAAAAAACATGCAGATCTTTCTTTTTGTTGTTTTTGGATTGGGTTTTCCAGTCTTGGGACCTGCATCGGTTATTGTAAAGAATAAATATCATCAGTGCGTCTGGTCGATGACTGCTTTTTAAATGTGAATTAACCAGATTGCAATAATCTAGTACAGAAAAAAGAGACAATGAATAAATAAAATGATAAAAAGATAAAGCCGTTCTGTGTGATGTGGATTTATTCCGAAGCTTCTAGGACACGCCGTCTCCTCCAGGAATGTGGAGGAATTCACACGGATCCTGTTTGTTCACATCCGGGAGCTAAAACATTCCCACAACTTGGGAATGAAATGAACTCAGGTGTCAGAATTTAAGGGATAAATCAGGAAAAACAGATTATTTGACCACATTGATTTAATTCAGTTTTTAGGTTCTTTAGTTCTGAAGTAAAAGAAATGAAGGATTTATTTTTACCGGCTTTGTCCTCCCCAGAGGTCTCACCTGGGTCGGCGTGAATCTCAACACAAAACTACACCACTGTTTAAATCCTGACTGAATTATTTCACAATAAAAGCAGAATCTACAAAGTAGAAGAAGAAACGGACATTTTAGTGCCTGTATTAGAGCCCTGCACTGAAGCCCGGCCCTCGGGCTGGGCCGGACACGGGCTCAGGTTTTAGGCCCGTGCAGGGCTCTAGCCTGAATGCATCTGGATCACTTTACAAAAATTCAGTTTTTAGTCCCAAAACAGGTTCATTTATCAGAGGTGTGACCAAGTCACTGCTTTGCAAGTCACAAGTCAACTCCAAGTCGAGTCCAAAGTCAATGATCTGGAGGTCCAAGTTCTTAACTTAGAATTTTCAAGTCATCTGTCCAACTTCAATTTAATGACAATGATCGTCGTCGTCTTCCTCCGCTTATCTGGGTCCGGGTCGCGGGGGCAGCATCCCAGCTAGGGAGCTCCAGACCGTCCTCTCCCCAGCCACCTCCACCAGCTCCACCGGCAGGACCCCAAGGCGTTTCCGGACCAGATTGGAGATGTAACCTCTCCAACGTGTCCTGGGTCGACCCGGGGGCCTCCTGCCGGCAGGACATGCCCGAAACACCTCCCCAGGGAGGCGTCCAGGAGGCATCCTGACCAGATACCCGAACCAGCTTCAGAGGAGCAACGGTTCTACCATGGACGTAATTTTCACTTGAGAAGTGGGGGGGACACGGGGGGTGGGGGTGGGGATCTTTACAGCATGCTCTAATGGGAAACAGGTTTCAACACAAACGGCTGTTTTCCGCTTGGTCTTAGAGCTCAACCAGTGTTAATTTAATATAGCGTAATATTGTTTTTGGATGGTAAAAAGTGCAGGGGTCAAAACTTGATTTTGGAAAAAGTGGGGGGGACATGTCCCCCCGTCGCCCCCCAAAATTACGTCCATGCGTTCTACTCCGATTTCCTCCCGAATGTCCGAGCTCCTCACCCTATCTCTAAGCCTTCATGACAATGATAATAAATAAATTCCAGAAAAAAAGCTTCTTAAAGCTTCATTTATTTGCTCAAACAAGCAGGAAGTGCAGCTGAAACCGATTATAAACAAAGCGCTGCTGCATGTAGCAGAACAAGATCTAACCCAGAACCAAGAATGATTCATGATTTTTGTCCATGTCGTGCCACTTTTGTACCAAAATATCAAATATGTTCAAGTCGTCCTCAAGTCAATAGATGCAAGTCGATTCAAGCCGCAGGTCATTGGCGTTCAAGTCCGAGTCAAGTCGTAAGTCTTTATGGATTTTGTCAAGTCAAAGTCAGAAGTCATTAAAATAATGACTCGAGTCCGAGTCACGTGACTCGAGTCCACACCTTTTATTAAACAATCACGAGGAAAGGGCTCAGAAATCCCAGAAAGAATCAGCGCTGGTGCAGAAAAATGTCATGCTTGAAAAGTCTGAGCCACAGCTGATCAGACACGATAAAAATGTGGAACCAGAACGTCAGTGTTGCATTATCTGGTCTGAAGTCTGAGAATGTCCTAAAGAGGACACCGTACTGCTTGCAGAGCCTGGATCTGATTTTCAGTTTTTCCCAGCAAAACATCCTGGAAGCTCCTGAGGTCAGAGTGAGGGAGTCCCTTCAGACACAAAACGTCTTTGTTAAAGCCAGAAACAGAAGAAATCGTGTTTACCTGAAGCTCTCAGGTGGCTCCAGCTCTCAGAGTTCCTCACTCACACATTTTCACAAACAAAACATGAAATCTGGGGGAAAACACCCAGAAACGTCACCTGTGAGCTTCAGGAGTCATGAAGGTGACATGATGTCCGATGACATCAACCTAGAGGCAGAAATTAGCAACAGAACTCAAGATTAGGATTAAAACGAGGAAAAAACAAAAGGAGAAATAAACGAGGGATCTGGAGGCTGAGAGGAAGGCCAAGAAGGACATGAAGGGTGGAGGATGCAGAAGACAGGATTCAAATGGAGACAGGCGACTGGCTGTTCAGACCCCTAAAGGGACACCCTCAGAGAGACAGGATAAGATGTTCTGTTGGTCATAAACCAGCTGCACTAACTGGATCTGCTCTGTGTTATCTGGTGTGTGGTCCTGAAGCAGCTGCTGTAGAAAGGAGATGTTTCAGCTGAACCTGCTGTTAGGAACCTCAGGGTTTACGCTGCTCTACACGTGTCCACACTGGCTGCTGCCAGACTCTCGACTCCACTGATGCAGCTGATCGGCTTCTGTTACATCATCATCTCCGCTGACTTGGACAATCTCCAGAATACATCAGGTGTTTATTGCACCCACACCCATCCTTTTCTCCAGTGGCTCCTGGACTCCAGTCCGATCTTCCTCTGGTTCTGAGATCTTTGGACTCTGAGATTCCTTTAAGAACAAGTTAACATCTTTCTTTTTAAATCTGCTCATGTTGTGTCATGTGTTTTTATTTATTTCCTGTAAAGCACTTTGGGATTTTTATCTGGGGAGGTTTGATAGAAATAAATCTATTTATTCTTCTGTGTGATCTGAATGGGTCGGAGCTGCAGGAACAGCTGGGATGCACGTCTAGGTAACTGTTTTATACACAACAGCTACTCTCGGGTAGTTTGCTGCATCTAAATCACTAAAACAGTGAGACAGTCACATTTAAATATTTCCTTTAATGACAAAAATAAAATTTAAGAAAAGTTTTATGGTTACATTTGTTTATAACATGTCTCACTTTTACCAAAGACTGTTTACGTGCCGCTAAAGGTTCTCAGTCATCTGGGTCCTGTTCTAGAAAATGTTTTGCTTCTCATCTGGAGATTTTTCAAGTCACCAAATATATAAAATAATAATAATAATCCTAAAATCTAACATAAAATAATAGCACTAGAGTAGGTTAAACCTCTATGTGGCAGCTGAACCTTTCAGTTTAGTAAAACTAACCAGAAAGGAACATAAAGAGTGAATTATGGATATAATTGCTTACAGGTTGGTTTTAACAGGATGAAATATTTTTATTGCTAAATGTTTGATCAGAAACAGCAACAGTTCCAGATAAAGTCCCTATCAATGGATTCTCCTAAAATTAGATTTCTGATGTTTTGTTGGGGTCAAAACCAGAAACCACGAATTAAAATTAATGCAGATTATTTGCGTTTAGAATAGAAATCCATTTGAGTTTAGGGGCTTCCGTAGATTTTCTGTTTTCATCCGCTTTCTGTGTGGTTGGTGAGATGCAGACTCGCATCCCCGCTAGCTAAAGTCCGGCTGCTTCAAACGGAACCAAAACCCATAAAGTGGAGTTTATTGACTCAGAACTGGGTTAACCGAACCGTGCTCTCTGGTCCGAACTGGGCTAGTGGTGGGAACTGGGTCTGTGTGTCAGCGCAGCCCGGTTCCTGTGTTTCCGGTGGGGAGGCGGGGGGTCCAGCTGCCAACAGCCTAATCAGCCTCACCATCTCCGCCGGAAGCCGGGACGCAGACCGAACCGACACCGGCCCCGGACCCGGTGGATGTCTGGTAGCTGAAAGCCGAAGCAGAGACGGAGAGCAGCGGGCAGGAGCCATGGCGGCGTCGCTTCTCTCCGAGACCGACATCAGGCACCGGTCCATGGCGGAGGAGGATCCGAACGGGAACGAGCACGGGGCGGCTGCACGCAGCGCGGTGCCTCGCTGGGGGCCGCAGCACGCCGGGGCTCGACAGCTGGCCCGGCTCTACTCTCCAGGTGAGACCGGTTGTTGATGTCGGTGTGTGTGTGGTTGTTTACAAACACAACAACAGCTGTTTTCATCCTGTGATGTCCAAACGGTTCTGATGGAGGCTGTCAGCTGTGGCAGGAGGACCGGAAGTTGACCGGAACCAGAGTCCGACCCAAACACGTCATCAGACTCATTCATAGTTTAGTAACGAACATGTAAAAGTTTAGTTCCATCCGGTTTCTTCACAAAGGTCCCTGTTCAGGCTGGGACATGTAGGACAGATTTGTGTTCATGTTTTATGTCCAAGTGTTCTTTGCTGGCCGTCCCTCATGCATGTCCTCATGTCCTCATGTCCTCATGTCAGGGCTGGACTGGGACAAAAATTCAGCCCGGGCATTTTGATTGGAGACCGGCCCATCACCTGTTTTTTTGGAAAAGACATTAAGCCTTACGCTGTTTCTGACACACACCAACGTACACTTTCTTATTGGTAGTATTTATGTATCAATCTAATAAACGTAAACCTACACCATCCTTCCTATCCTGGTATTCTAAAAAAGTAGGGTTGGGGGCAAATGATTATTTTTAAAATGATTATTCTGACGATTATTTTATCGAATAGTCAACTATTCTAATGACTATTTAGATGATTAATTTAGCGATTACTTTTCTATTGCACAATTAATAAAAACCAAAAAATCTCAAATAAATTCCTCCAAAAAATTGATAAGTTGTTACTGTAAGAGAATAAACACTACAGGCCTTCCATTTTGTATAACACTGCTTTTATTGTGTTGCGGTTGTTTATATTCTGGTGACGTGTAGATCATGCAGGCTGCTGCCTGAGAGGTGGTTGGAGACGGAGTGTCTCCATGCTGCTTTGTTTTGGTCACTTATGTGCATGAAGCAAATGGTGTTACGACCCTTCCTGGGGAGTCATGTGTAAAGGGTTAAATTTACCTAAATATTACCTTATTTATTATCTCTTGATGTTATTCGTCCCTATTTCTGTGGTTAATTGACAATAGTTTCCTGAAATGTTTCTCCTATTTTAACTGTAAATCCTTCTAGCTGTTATATTTATAACAAGAAACAGATATTCGGACGGAATATTTTCATGTTTATTCGAATATGATTGTGGAACACACCCAGCATCATAATAAATGAAGTCATATTTATGCCAATTTAAGCCTTTATGGGTGACCAGGACACTGTGATCAATTTTTGGCAAGGGAAATTATCATTTGTTGCCATTTTTGAGGTGTTTATGAATGTGGAAGACACCCAGCATCCTGTGATGGCACTAATAACATCAAGAGATAATAAATGTAACCCTTTACAGGTGACCAGGACACTGTAATCAATTTTTGGAAAGGGAAATTATCTTTTTTTTTTTTTTTTTTTTTTTGCCATTTTTGGGGTGTTTTTGATGATACAGTAGGCAGTATGAGTACAGTAACATCAACAGATAATACATAAAACCCTTATTTGGTCAATTTTAGCCTCCATGAAAATCTGAGCGATTCAATCACTTTTTGGCAAGTAAAATGCCATTTTAGTTGTCTACAATTAAATCATCAATAAAGAATTTAAAGACATTTTGAGGCGTTTCTTATAGGTAAACGGGAGGGTGTAGTCTATTTGGCAAGTGACAATCTTAATTGTATGTGCTGAAGTGCTTTTATCTTGTTACTTTTAAATAGAGCAACGTAATGTTTAGCAACTTACACAGTGTCATTGTAAAGCCAAAGCTTGATCAGTTTAAATACTTTTTTTCCAAGTAAAAATGTGCCCCAAACTAGTTAACCGTGGCTCCATGTCAAGTGGACTAAAGAAAGGAAGGGGAAAAAAATTAAATCGCTGGAGAATTGTTTATTTACATTTATACAACGTTTACATTCAATACATGGTGCCATTTTACATTGTTTATTTATTTTTTTAGTATCAAGGCTGTAACATAAAGAAAGCCAGTTCTTACCACAAACCATCTTTCAATCGCAAATATTGCAAAAAGGATTAATATATCCTCATTGTGAACGTTTAAGACAAATAGCAACACTTAAAACAACTTCCGAACTGGAAAAACTTATGTGGCAAGGTGAAGAAACAAGGCCCGAGCAGGATTCGATCCCCAGACCTTTGGGGTGAGAGTCATACGCTCTAACCACTCAGCCAAAGGGACATCCCCTTGGCCAAGTAGCCAGGGCGCAAGATCAATCGGGATATTGTGACAGGATGCTCACACTGTCACATCTTCCTCCCTCTTTCCACAAGCACGTCCTCGAGCGCCCGCGCAGGGTGCCACCAACACTGCCACACTAATATCCGCGATAAACATCTGTTTAAGTACCGGAAGAGGTTATCTTTGCTTTCTGAATGTCCATATTGCTAGATATGCCGAGTTTTAGGGCGAAATCCTGGGGAATTTTGTCTAGAAATGCAATTACCTCACCGTGCGCGATCCCGCGGTGGCTAATCATTTTTTGGCAGCGAGTCGATTAATGGCACAACACCGGCTCGGGTTTCTCCTCCTCCCTCTTTTCTTCTCCAACCTGTTGCTGGGCTGAGGCTCCATCACTTCCTAAATTGATTTTACTTGAACCTTCACTACCAAACAACTGTGAGATTTTAACACATGTGCCAGCATCAGCCTGAAGGGCCAGTTTCTTTTTTAGTCGAATTTTCTCCGCTCCTCCTTTCCGTTTTTTGTTCTCCATTTTGTTAAGCTCGTCTGTCTGTTTACTGAGATTCACAAACAACTGGCGGGTGCATCAGACCTCTGGCTATTGGTCCAGCCCAGAGTGTATTATTACCAATTGGCCAATCCACCAACTTTTACGAGGCGTCGCGTGGGGCGGCGCGGACAAGTTGTCCGCAACAACTAGAGGCCAGAAAAAAAAAAAAAAAAAAAAAAAAAAAACACACACCGGCCCATAAAAGATGAATGGGTCGGCCCAGCGGGCAATTGCCCGCTATGCCCTATGGTCAGTCCAGCAGTGCCTCATGTCCTCGTGTCCTCATGTCCTCATGTCCTCATGTCCTCATGTCCTCGTGTCCTCATGTCCCAGGGTCTGAAGAGTTTAAATCCAGATCTCTGGCTCCGGGCTAAAACTAAAGTTCTTCATTTCTGTAAACAACCAAATCTTCTATTTATCATCATAATTTGTCTTTCTGTCTCTAAAGCCCAGAGATGTCTGTCCGCCAGACATGTGGACATGTTTTTATGTAACTAACTGCTTTTATGTTACGTGCATTTAAAGGTGCAGTATGTAAGAATATAATGAGAAATCTACAGTGAGAAAATCCCAAAAGAGTCTAGTTTCAGTCATTTTGGAAGAAGGTTCTACTGAAACATGTTTCATGTCCTCGCCTGTGAGCGCCTAACTTTTATGTCACGTTCAGCGCCGTGGGCTTCCGTAACGGCAGTGGAAGGTGCTATACAAATAAAAGTTGATTGATCCAGATGGCTGCGGGGATTATCAGTTTATCTTCTTTCAAAACAAAGGAAGGAGGGGCGTAACTACTGGTTACCATCTGTGAGGGGTTGGGGGGGTCACGTCTCCTGAGAGCTAATGCTGCAGCGCCGACGATTGTAGGCAAAAAGCTCCAGAGTTGTTTAAAGTGGTTGCAGTAACCACATTTTACCACATGATGTCAATTTTACTTCATTTCTACATAATGCACCTTTAACTGATTCTTGCCTGAACCTCAGAGTCCAGATGATGACCACATTTACATCTGATCTGGGTTCACGTCCATCTGGACGCTCAGTGGCATCACTTATAATAATAATAATAATAATAATAATAATAATAATAATAATAATAATAATGCTACTACTACTACTACTACAACAACTTATACTACTACTACTACTACTACTACTACTACTACTACTAATAATAAACATATTAGTGTTTTCCCCACAAACCAAAGTGGGATCCAACCAGGAAGTCAGGCTGCTGATTGACTTGTTGACTGCTGGGACTGAGACCCATTCTGGTTCTGACAGTTCTGACCCAATGGTATCAAGCTTGGCCAATCACAAATCACCTAAAAAAATAGGAAATCAAAGAGCTTTTTTGACTGACTAGACATTTGTAATTACTCACATTTAAGATCTATTATTGCTGTCATGGACCAGCTCTTAGTGGCGATGCATTCATGGACTCTGAAAGATTTAGTGAAAATGAAAACGTGATGAACCTCATGCTGCTGATTATTGGTCCATTCCAGTCACCAGCTGGTGGTATTATCGGATATCTCGTATTTCTGGTTCAACATAATTTGCAGACATTTATTTCTAGGACCTTTCTATGTGCAGCTGCAGGGTTTTATGAGTTTCTCACGGGTGCTTCAAATCCTAAAAAATGTTAGAATTTTAATGTAGGAATTTTCAGGTTGGCATTTATTTTAAAAGGGACATGAAACAAACACAAAACCCTTTTTAGGAAGCTTCTACGTGCTGTTCAGGTATGTGAAAATCTTCAAACTCACCTTGAAAGTGCTTGACTATGATAATGACGAAGAACCGTGTGTGTTCTCGTGAGTGGGTGTTTCTGTATGACTGTGTGTTCATGGTCACGGATGTCCACGTGGACGCGCTTTGGCGCACCGAACCAAAGCAGGAAACAAAATCCGTTGTTTGCAGGTCGTCGAGGTGATGTCATGCAGGTTCTACCTCACCGTTAGAAACCTCAGATCATTGACGGACCTGTGACGTGACGTTGGCGCAAACGTACACTGATGCTCAGATGTCGCATCGTTCAGCTCTTGTGACTGTGCCAGCTTGTGCACACTTGAGCGTGCACGTGTAGAGCACATCTACCTGTGGACGCTGCTCTTCATTGAGTGAAGACATCAGGACGTCCCAGTTCGCTGTTTCAAGTCTTTACCTAAAACTCCTGTTCTTCTTCTGACTCTTCCACGTGGATGATTCGCACTCGTTTACCCTCCCCGCTGCTGTTTAAAGTCTGGCCGATGGACAGGAACAGGAAGTCGGCAAACCGGAACATTCAGTAAATGG